CCCTAATGCTGTACCATTGAGCGTCTCAAGTACTGCAGGAATTAGCTAAGTCGATAGCGTCGCATGAATAAAATTTGGATTCCATAGCTCTCTTATGAGTCTGTCTTACCTTTTTCGTTGTGTTTCACCCCAAGTACGATGTAAGAGATAGTCGCAACCAATCCAGCTACCAAAGCAACTAAACCAGCGCACATGTACAACGTAAATGTTTCCCTTGGAATGAGTCTTTCGTGATCGCGTCGAACGGAGAAATTAATGCGGAGGAACAAAATAGCGAAGACTGCTGAAATGGCGGCCCATGTTGCAGCGTTGTAGTTTTGGTAAACTTTGACGTAGGTTATGGAGCCAGAGAATCCCGCAATCGCACCAGCGAAGGCTGCGATAATTCGTGTTATCAGTTTGTACTTTTGGTAAGCTGCCCATGCTCGCTTTAGCTTATCGCTCATTGTTACGCGAAGCTGGAAGTAAAGCGAGTCTTGTTTCGTGATTCTCTGCGTCTGGTACAGTCAAGTAGGCCGGGAGCTGGTTAGTCACGCGATCATAGGTGACTGACGCAGAGATAGCTACGGGAAGATATAAACAAACGCTTCACGGTCGCAATCAGAAAAACTGTTCGCTAATTTTTCAGGTTCACTGTTGTAATCCGCCTTAAACTTCTCCAAAAAACATTGACATCACTACAACCTTTCTTGCTTTTTATAAATACCTTCCCAGTGTTCTCCCAACTTACTTTTTAAACTTTCTGCTGTTTAAATCAGTGAAGAAATAATTTCATAAAATTTGACTAAATATTTTAAAATAAGCTTCATAATAGACCGTCTATTTTCCCTGTAATAATATACATGAAAAAATTACACGCTTCTGATTAACTGAAAACGAGTGCATTTTTCATGTAACACGAATGCAAATTACAAATGGCATGCGTGCACTGTCAATATTTCGTTTGTCTTAACTTGTGTTACGCTTCTAAATACACTAATGTAACGTAAATCATTTAGAAGTGGCATGATTTCTCGTGAAGTGAAGTGGAGAGTGTAATCGTCATATAGTGGTACGGTAGATTAGTATCGAGTGCAATTTGGTGTCAATAAGCACGAGTACACTTTTAAATTTTAAGGACTACAAATTGCAACAAAAATTTACTCGTGCTCATTGACAACAATGATATTGCACTCGATACTATTCTACCGCACAACTATGAGATGATTACACTACATACTTTTCAAGTGATAAGTCCACCGCTGACCAAAAGTGTGCTCTGTCGTTTACAAATCGTTTCATCCGTCCCTAACTTTCCCCAAGTTTCTCCGTTCGATTATCTGAAAGTAGCAAATTTAACTTAGGAAAAAAAAGGCAATGATATAAAACCGTCGATTGCTGCTGGAGACAGCGTTTCTTGTAAGTATGTGTGTAATCTATTGGTGAAATCTCGTGCTTTGAGTGGCCTCACATTTGGTAAATATGGCTGTCCATAAGCGTTCGTGGCAGATTGAAAATGTGTATATTTGATGGATCGTGCTACATGTTCATTGATCATGCCTACTCTAATTACTCACATGCCTTAGCTAGGTTTAAGGCCTTTCGCCTCTCAGGGCTCTAGTTAACCTTTACAGTGTAATACGACCTGCTAATTGACCACCAATTGTACACAGAAGAACTGAGAGATACAATAATACCATCTATAAAGTCTCAAGTGTAGGAAAATCTTAGTAATCATGTTATTATTGGATTACGTGTTGATTTTAATTTTGGGGCAAATTTTTTGACTGATCAAAGAGAGTATGAAAGCAAACCCAAACAACATCCAGACTGCTTTCGATACGAAATTGAATAATGTTCTGAGAGAATTTCAGTTTGGCTGTCATGATCCCTGGATGGTTTCACACGTGCGAATAATTTTTATAACTTACTAGTTAAATTAGAAATTCAGTTTTGGCTAGTGGTTTTTAGTTCCCACTAGCCAGTTTGGCTAGTAAACAAACTGAAATTGTTGCAACATTAAGTTATCATTGGCCACTTGGCTAGTAAGTTGAAAGTTAGTGTCAAGCCCTGCCAGAAATATAATAAATACCTTACTAACCTCTTTTTTTCTAACCATGTTTTGTTTTGGAATATTTTACTTTTTCTAGAGCCTCCTTCCTTTAAAGAACTCAAGTTTAAACATTAGTTTGTCCTGGTGGCTCTCTTTATGACACATGGGTAGGGACAGCAGGTATGTGAACACTTAGTCATAGCATACTAGCTCATGTCTAAAGAATAGTTTACAATGAATGTAGAAATTCTTCGACCCTCATTGGTCAAGAGCCATTATTATTAAGGTTAAAGATCATAAAAATGACATAACTTGAAATGCAGGGCCCAGCAATCTTTGCTATGTCAAGGAAAAAATTTCTTACATGAAAACAATTGCAAACTTGTGAATTATGGACTGTGACACAATTTGACCTATATATTGTCAGTTTGAAGGTACAGTTTATAAATATGTAAGACAACCACTCAAGTTTTGATTTCTTCTCTTGTATGATGAATGATTCATTTTGCTTCAGATAATAGCTTTGATAAAGACAAAGTGATAATTTCCTGTATTTGAATAGGTCACACAAGAAGAGATCTCGTTCCAGATCATCAAGTAGAGATAGAAGTCGGCGCTCTCGAAGTCGAGAAAGAAATAAGGAGAGAGATAAGAAGAGGTCTCGTAGTAGGAGCCCAGAAAAGGGAACAGGTAAGTCAAGCCGGAAGCCACGAGAGCGAGAGAGAGAAAGAGACAGAGTTAGAAAAAGAAAACGATCAGAAAGTGGTTCATCTCACAGTGCATCGTCAAGTAGAAGTCGCAGCCGTAGTCCAAAGAAAAAAGAGAAGGAGAAGGATAGCCAGCAGCGCAAGCGTCGGTCACGTAGCAGGAGCGCGGAAAAGAGATCAAAGAAGGAGAGGCCTCGCAGTAAGGAAAGAGACAGAGAAAAGGAGAAGGAGAGGAAAAAACGTTCAAGGAGCCGGGATCGCTCAAGTTCTTCTGGGGCAAGATCAAAGAGTAGGAGTCCAGAGAAGGAGCAAAAGAAGTCTAAAAGCAGGTTAGTGGAAGGAACAATGATGTTTCTTTGTCTTGTCCCAAGCATTGGATGAATAAAAAAATTCTGAGTCCGTATGAGGAATCAAATCTCAGACCTTCAGATTAAGCCTCCCAACATTCTAACATCTAATGAATTGATTTTTATTCTCATGTCAGCCGAGACAAGAAGAGAAAAGAGGAGGATGATAGTGCAGATAGAGGCAAAGAAACTAAAAAGTCAAAGGAGGTGGGCCTATTTGTTTACCTTACTTAACTTTTTAATCCTAAGAGTGACTAACATCTAATTTCTCTGCACAGTGTCACCCCGGAATCAAAAATTAAGGTCTCAAGAATAAAGGAAATGATCAACAACTACAGACTCTTGATTGATAAGCAAAATCTCTTTGTCAGAATCCTAAGAAATGTATAGAGAACAGCATGGAGAATATGCATATTGATGTTAATATAAAAGTTGTTACCAGTGAAACTGTACTTTTTCCAAAAAGAGCTTGATAAAAGGAAAGTATTTTTAGTTAGTGAGAGCTTTTCTCTGCCTTAACAGTTGATTTTATTTGTAGTCGAAAAAGGAAACAACAAGTTCAAGTGTTGAAGAAAAACGTGGAGAAGACGACAAAGTTAGTTCAGGAACTCTTTGTTACAATTGATAACTTAACCCTCTGACCCCCTGAGAGTGATTAAAATCTGATTTCTCCTTATAATATCCTTCCTGAATCACACACTGAGGTCGTNCGTGTCCTAGGTTTGATCTATCATGACCTGTTTGATTTCAAACAACATTTTCGAAATTTTCAACGCTTAATGGCTATGTGATAAAATGCTTATTGTCTGAGTTTAGCTGGGCCTGACGGAAAACATTTCGCTCTCAGACTCCAAGTCAAATTCTCCCCTTGTGGACTCTTCTCAGGCCCTCTATTGTTATCAATCACTCTGGAGTTCTGGGTAATTTTTTTTTTTGGAATATTGTCATCTCGACATTTGGGAATATTTTAGAATTGAGGCCTGGAGGGCTCAGCGTAAAAAGGAACAGGAAGAAAAACAGCAAGCAGAAAAACAACAACAAGAAACAAAAAGTGATGATCAGCAAAAGAAAAAAAAAGCCTGGAGCCTAGAAGATGATGATGACGATGATGAAGAGGAGGACGAGGTGACAGGAGGAATTAAGGAAGAGGCAGAGGTTAGTTCAATTAATAATTAATAAAAATAAATAGGTAATAATAGATTAATAAGGAATAATACATCTATCATTAATAACAAATTGATAATAATTTATAGATAAATAACAATTAATGATTACCAACAATAACTAGCGTAGTTTTTAAGAGATGGGCTGCCTGATGATTAATCCTCTGGACTTCTAAGGTCGAAGTTCATGCCTCGGCTGTGTCATTGTCTTGGATTCTGAGGCACAGAGCCATCACAGTGTCTCTCCTATCTAGTGAATCTGAAGGAATTCTAACAGGTAGCAGTTTTGATTAGCAGTTGAGCAAAAAGGTGGCTGCATATATGACTAGATTTTATTTTAAAGAAGAACGACCCATCTTAATTCATACTCAAAAGATAAATTGTTGGTTTGACTTATTCTGATTTTGCGTTGTAATTGCAGGATGAAGATGATGAAGATAAAAAGAAGTCCTTTGGCGGTAAGTAACATCATTTGATAAAGGTTCCATTTGTTCTTAATAAAGTTTGTATCAATGATGTATTCTTAGTAAACTTAGTTCAATATTTATCATGAAAAAGTCTCACAAATGAAGTCCATCAATGCAATTTAACAACATCAGGAATGACACAGGTTTCGATCATGCTTGTGAAAACTTTGGTATGAAATGATGGCAATGCCTATTTTCAGACTCTTTTTCCACATTGTGCATGCAGAGCATGTCAGAAATTTTAAATCGATTGACCCCCAAGAGTAATTAGCATCTAATTTCTCCTTACAATATCAACCCAGGATCAACCATAAAGGTAACAAGAATAAAGGAAATGATCACCAACTAAAGAAGCTCTTGATTGTTAAACAAATTCTCCTTGTCAGCACCTTAGGAAATGTATATAGAACAGTATGGAGAATATGCATGCTGATGTTAGAGTTAAAATGGCTCATGAGACCTGCGACACATCGAGGTCCTTGTTCTCATGATTTTTCTCCACTTTCTCTTTTTTTCCTCCTTCTAGAAAAACCAACATTCCAAATTCCAATTTGAGCTGAAAAAAAAAAAATGCACACTAGCTCAAATTCAATTGAATTCCATTTGCTTTGCTCAGGGATTTTCTAAAAAACTATCAAGTATCTACCATAAAATGTTTACATTTAGTTTAATTGTCAAAATAGTGACTAAAATATGAATAGTTATCCCCTATTTTAACGAGAAGAATAAAAACGTTTAGTATTTATTGCAAATCTTAACTTCAGTTGCAGACAAAAAAGAACCTGCAAGTGTCGCAAATGGAAAAATCAAAGAAGAACCAGTAAGTCCACTGTGCTGATTTTTCCACTGAAACCAAGAATGTGCTTTCATTATGATTCCCATGATTTTGTCAGTAATTCTTCTCACTGTCTGCTAAACAATTCTTATGATGTTACATTGTTAAATTTTGTGTAGGATCAACCAATAATCCCCTAGTCGATATTTTTCTTTATTCTCCCCACTTGTCTGGTTGATATTGTATTGATATTGTTTGGAGAAATTCTGTCTTGATCAATCATGGTAGTTAAAGGGTCAAGCCTTGAATGAACCACATTTAAACTGAAAGGTAGCAAATGTTCATGTTTTTTTTAGCCAGAAGATGATGATGTGGATCCCTTGGATGCATTCATGGCTGATGTTAGTAAAGAGGCAAGTTGACTTTGTAACTTCAGTGTATGACTTTGGTGAACAGAGAAACGAAAAAAAAAAATGATTGCACCTGTTCTGCAGGCTAACATAGAGCTGTATGTCCCCTGAGTAGAGATACCTGATTACGAAAGTAAACTAGCGTGATCACTAACATGATCTGGTCACCATGTAACTTGTTATTTTGCCAGGTGAAGAAAATCAATGCTGTGGATCAAAAGAAAAAAGTTGGAAAAACTGGAAAGGCAACAGTTATAACTCATGTTGTAACCAAACCAAAGAAAAGGGTATGTGAAGAATTCTATTTCGATCTGAATTTCAACAGAGAGTCGTGAGACGCAAACGTCAAAAGTGACCACGTGATATTGTTTTTTCCCGCCATTTTTTTACGGTTGCCAATTGCGCTTCGCCGTTTTTACGTGAAAGTGACCTGTTTTGCTTTTGCCGCGAGAAGTTCATTGCTGGACAAATGGAGTCAAAACTATTCCTAATTTATATAAGGGCACCCGCAAATCCACCAGAATGTGAGCTCTCGCGAAACTAAAGCAGCAAGGTTCTCGCTATTTTACGTGAAACCTGAAAGGACAAGGCTGATGTTTTCCGTTTTATGTAAACACCGTGCTAAATCTCTCAATTGATAACATGATTCGAGATGCGGTAGTCTATAGTTAGGTTACTGAATTCTACGTTCAAAGGTCTTGGTTTGAGCTCTGGCAAAGACATTGTTATGTGTTCTTAGGTACAATAATTAATTGTCTCCAGGCCTCTCTCCACCCGGTGAGTAAAATGATTTTAAAAAATGTTGACGATGCTCTTTTCAATTTTTTTGTTAGGATCCAACTAAAGGAGAATTAATGGAAAATGATCAAGATGCACTGGAGGTAAGATGCGACCTCACTAGTTATTTGTAGTTGCATAGTCCGTCATAGGAAGTCGTGTTCTATCGGGCTCAAGTTTTGCCAAGACTTGCCCATTTGCGCATGCCTCACCTTTGACCGCTGTGCTGTTTAGAGGCTCATTTTATGGAAAGCATGAACTTGGCGCTAAACAACTTACACTCATGTTTTGTTGCCTTTAGTATTCCTCCGAAGAAGAAAAAGAGGACGAAACCATAGAGTCAACCTATGCGCACTTTAAAACCAAGAAAAAGAAGGTATTTTTGAGACAGTTCAGTCTTCTGCAAAAGAGATGATGGTATTTAAGCGTTAATTTTTTTCTTTAAGGCAAACCATGCATCTTTTGCGCTTACCAAACTAGCTTAGTGTTTTTCGATGAGTGTCGTTAAACCAAAACCAAAGAAGTCAAAATGGCCAATCAGAAGAAAAAAAAATGCGTTGAAGAGTCATTGAGAACTCAAAAGTAAAACAAACAAACCGCCTTGAGCGCGGGAAAACACGGACAACTGCGTCGTGAGTGGTTTTAGTTTTGAATCTGGTTGGTTTGATAAAGTGACGCGAGTTTTCTGAACCAATCGCAGAGCGAAGGAAAGCAAAACCAAAGAAATCTGGATTACTTTCGACGCAATTGAAAATTGCTCCATCTCGTGGAAGGCATGTTGACGCTTGAAGTAGTTGTTATTTTGAGTTACTTTCAGGACCAAAAATACGCCTAGTAGCCTCTTTGAACTACAAAAAGACGAAAAAACAAAACAAAAAAACAGGACATTCTCAGCTGGAAATCTTGTGTACTTATATGGGGTTATGATGACAAAATTGTATTGGTAGTAACTTCAGAGAGAAGTCTCTCCAGGTGCATTTGGCTGTTCTCTTATGAATGTGTTTATTTTTTTATATCTTTTAGGATCTACAGGCCGTTGATCATGATAAAGTGTATTACTCGTCATTCAGAAAGGATTTTTACGTCGAAGTTCCCGAACTTGCAAAACTGACCCAAGAAGGTATGGTACAATATAAGTAGGTCATTGGATCTTTTTGTTAGTTTGATTGATGAATCAATTCAAAAGAGTTCTTATCATTTTCAGTTGATAGGTGTTTCGTGTAAAGTCTTCACGATTTGAACGACTTAATTGCTTGGCACAGCCTTTGGCGAAATCATAGTTTTTCTAGAATTGACTGATTTGTTCCTTACAGGTTCTGATGAAATGGCTACGAATTATGAAAAGATAAAAAGAATGTGTTTTCCTTGTTTGTTTCCAGAGGTAGATGAATACCGTGCAAAGCTAGAAAACATCAGAGTTCGTGGTAAAGATTGTCCAAAACCTGTAAAAACATGGGCCCAGTCGGGAGTGAGCCTGAAAATTCTTGACGTTCTTAAAAAGTAAGTTTGTGTCCATGTTTTTTAACAAGGTTAGATTTAGAGAAAGATGATTTTTCGTCGTGTCACTTGGCACGGTTCTCAAACCAGTCGCGACTTAGCTGCTCGCTTTTTCCCGCCCTTGAGTCACGCCATCTGCTTAACCAATCGTAAGCGATTGTTTTGAACTAATTATGACTTGGTCAGCCGCGCCACTTTTCCCGCGCTTCAGGGCGGTTACTCGCATTTACCTGGAGTTCTCATGGGCTCCTCGTACATTGTCCTTTGTTCTGAGTGGCCGTTGTGAGCACGTTGCTCTTGGCTTCACGATCCCCTATGAAGGAGCCCCCTATTGTCACTAAAACTACTTAAATTGCTGAATTGTTTCGTTCAAAGGAATGGCTATGAGAAACCCACACCGATTCAAGCTCAAGCGATACCCGTTATTATGAGTGGGAGAGATATGATCGGTAAGAAGAGATATCATTTGAGAAACCTATAGATTCTAATAGAAGTTTGATTACGAGAATTGAATTTACACTCAAATACTAACAAAGTACATACTGCACCTCACGAGGCATCATTCTACTATTTGTGAGCAGTTGAGTGTGCGAATTTAATGTTATTAAACGTAACGGGGCCTTTTCTTGATGGAAAACCTAAAAAGACTGCTAAATGTGCTTGCATATTGTTGTCCTGCCATTTTTGCAGAGGCTAATCCTTCACCATTCACGAGTCTTGTGGTATCCCGCCAAAATGACGCAGGCTCGCACGCGCCCACTGTTTCACAATGAAAAAAATCTCGAACTCAAAGTCGCACCTGTCATACAGCTCCCTGGGAGCATTTTTACACAGTTTTGGTTTACATTTTATTTGGGTGACAGAAGGAATCTTGGGGATCTAGTCGCTTTATGCTGCAGAAACCCGGATAAGCCCTCTCTGTCCGTCTCATAGGCAAACTTGACCTCATGTGTCCTATCCTAAGACACGTTTTTCTTTATGCTTCACAAACTGCTTGACAGTACGCTTGTCTTTGATCTTCTTTCAGGAATTGCTAAAACAGGAGGTGGGAAGACATTAGCGTTTCTTCTGCCAATGTACCGCCATGTTCTTGATCAGCCTGAACTTGATAGAGAGGATGGACCGATAGGTATTACAGATCAGACTAGAGCAATTTCAAATGAGTGGCGAAAGTAATCTGGGATCGTATTGGTTTTGCTTTGTTTCGCTCTATGATTGGTTCAGAAAACTCGCGCCACAATTTCAACCAATCAGCTGCAAAACTAAATCCCGTCACGAATTGGTCGCCCGCATTTTCCCGCGCTGTAGACAGTTTGTTTGTTTTAACTTTTGAATTTTGATTGGCTCTTGAAGTTATTTTCCTTTCTTCCGATTGGTTCCTATCATTACCATCGTTTTGATGTTACCATGGTCATTCGAAAAGCGCTCCAAAGATCAATTTTCTAAAGCATTGTGATACATTTGTTTTGCTTTACTTCGTTCTATGATTGTTCTACCCTCTCAAATGTAATGCAGTACTGTAAAGTTCGCGACTTGGTCGCCCGCGTTTTTCCGCGCTCGAGGTACGTCAAGTGTTTTTACTTTGAATTCTTATTGGCGCCTTGTAAAGCTTACCTCGGCCCTGACTGATCGTGGTAGCTGCAGGGTTCCTACGCGTATTGAAAACCCTTGAAAACCCTTGAATTTCAGGAGGCCGATTTCAAGGCCTTGAAAGTACTTGAATTTCGTTTTGGGTCCTTGAAAGTCGTTGATTTTTTATTGAACAACATCGAAAAAATATCTGCTTTTGTTTTGCACCATCGGTAAACCCAAAACATAGATGTTAACAGAAACATTATTCTTGGTTCTGAGGTAAAATTGTCATTTCAAAAAGCCCTTGAAATTTCTAAGTAGGGTCCTGGAAAGTCCTTGAAAAGTCCTTGAATCTTTGGCCTGAAAAAGTGTACGAACCCTGTAGTTGATTTACCGTTGTTTTTTAAGCCGTTGGTTCCCCTATATTAGTTTTCCCCTTATTCAAGTTATATGATTCGAAAGTACGCGGAGATTCGATAGAAATGCTTTAGTAAGCATCACGTTGCATTTACTCGAACTGTTTTCTAAACTTACAGGCATAATTATGACTCCAACAAGAGAACTGGCTCTTCAAATTTTCCGGGAGTGTAAGAAGTTCTGCAAACCTCTTAATCTTCGAGCTGTCTGTGTGTACGGTGGCACAGGAATCAGCGAGCAGGTTAAGAGTAGAATCGTATTGTAAATCTTGCATTATTGTCATAAATGTATCAGGGAGAACTCGGTTTTAGTAAGGGAATTATCAAGGTGTGAACCAAAAACATCTCATTTGTTCTTGATAAACAGTTTGTTTAGCGATCAAAGCTTCTTTAGTGGATGGTCATTTCCAAAATATTCTCAAGATCTCAATAAATGATTCAACAGTATTACTGTGAGGGGAAATTAGATGCTGGTCACACTTGTGAAGAAATATCTACCTGAAAGCCGTGTGATATTCTTTGCTGAAGCCCCCTCCATTAATATATTTTGGCCCGGCCATACCTTTTTCTTTCTTCAACTAGATTGCAGAGCTCAAACGTGGAGCAGAAATCATTGTTTGCACTCCGGGCAGGATGATAGACATGTTGACAGCGAATAATGGTAAGTTCAAAAGATAACCAAATGTTTTGATTGTTGCTGTTAGTTATTAACTGGACCAAGGCTGCGTTCGCACTTGGTGCTCGAGCACGGTGCCGAGTACGATTCTTGATGGGCACTAATGTGAACACACCTTTTTTTTCAAGTAACGACGCCAGAATTCGGGCACCGTACCCGTGCACAAGAACTTGGGCTCGGGCACAGAACCGAACGCTTATATATCGGGTACTCAGTGTCTGAACAAAGTACCATTTTGTGCCGGTGCCCTGGCATTAATGCTCGGCTACCAAGGGTGAACGCAGCCTAAGAACCCGAGCTGATAACTCGAATGTTTTTCTTCTAGGTCGGGTGACAAATTGTCGACGTTGCACGTATTTAGTTCTGGATGAAGCCGACAGAATGTTTGACATGGGATTTGAACCTCAGGTAGAGAAACAGCAACAACAATAATAAACTGTAATCGCAATATTTGTATCAGAATTGAACTCGGGACAACGAAGAGAAAAGCTAAGGGACCTTTAGACATTAAGTCTCGCGCCTTAAGCCACCCAGCTGTTTCGCCCTCCAAGAGGTGTCCTTTTAATTTTTAAGTCATGAACTTGCCGTCATAGTCTTAAGGAGCTTTCCTTTGCATCTGGGCAGTCTTTGTTTTTTCTACTTTAAAAGAATAGAAAGTCATTTCCATTGGTCGTGAGGTCAGGGTAGTTTTTGCAAGTTCTCTCACGCGAAGAGTGGTTCCAGGTAAGAGGATATGTAAAAATCACTCCCATGATATGAGTGACCAAGACCGAATTTCTCCTTACAATATCAATACAATATCAAGCACGTAAGTGATGAGAATAAAGAAAAATATCAGCATTGGAATTATTAATTAATCCGAAACCAAATTCTCCGACCTAAAATCGGAAGAATTACAATTCAGATCTTGGGAGCGGAAAAGTTAAAGCCATTTGAAGCTCGAATCAAGTAATCAAAAGCAATGCAAAAGCGGTGACAGGCAGATTAAAGATGAAAAATCTTGTTCCTTTCTCCTACTCAGGTGATGAGAATTATCGATTGTATCAGACCAGACAAGCAGACGGTTATGTTTTCCGCAACTTTCCCTCGTCAGATGGAAACTCTAGCCCGAAAGATCCTCACAAAACCAATCGAGGTATAAAAAAATAAAAAAAAAAACAAAAAATGATACTAAAAATTGTCTCCTGATATCATGACTTGGTTTGCCTTTGTTTTGCCTCACCACGCTCTCTGATAGGTAAAAATAAAGTAATACTAAAAGAAAAATCCCTGGTCAGCTTTTCAAGAAATCGTGGCTCGCCAGTTAGTTTTTGTTTTTTTCAAGTTCTCATGGGTCTCTTGTGATATTTCTCCTTTTGGGGTTGGTCGTTGTGTTAGAACAGCTTTCAACTGCGTATCGAAAATAATCCAGGTTTGCATTGGCTCTGTATTGGCATTGCTTCACTTCGCTTTTTGATAAGCGCAGAAAATTCGCGCCATCCGTTTAACCAATCAGATACAATACTAAAGCAAATCGGGACTTAGTCGCGAGCTTTTCCCGCGCTTTAGTATCTTTTAATTCTCATTGGCTCCTTGTTACGATCACCTTCGTTTTGATCAGCTATTGCGTTTACTTTGGTTTTGGTTTTGTAAAATTCAATCGAAATGCTTTTTAGAATGTGAGCGCGGTACATTTGCTACTTAGATTGAAATGGAATAGCGCTCAGGCTTTTTGTTAAGGAACTCTCGCCGTAGTTCGAAAACGGATGTTATTCAATTTACTTTGGGCTTCATTCCTGACCTTGAAGTCCCTGTATCGATAAGATTTTTTCATGATAGCTGTTGACATTTCTGACTCGCAGATTGTTTTGTAAATTGACGTTTGTAAATTTTTTTTGTTTTTCAAGATACAAGTTGGCGGCCGAAGTGTTGTTTGCTCAGATGTTACACAACATGTGGTAAGGATTCTCCTTAAGGCCAAGTGTAGTTTGTTGATGCGGTTAACTAAGTGTTTTTATGTTCATAAAACCGAATGCGGTTATTAGTTTAACGTGCGCGCGTGTCTTTTTGTTAGATTGTTATTGATGAAGACGACAAATTCTTAAAACTACTTGAGTTGCTCGGCATTTACCAAGAAGACGGTAAGCGTTCTATAGCTATCTATAATTATTATATAAATTTCGGTGTTTTACAAGGATTTCCAGCCCTGAGAAAAGCCGTAACTGTACTCGTGTAAAACAACGATAATTTTTTACGTGTGTTTGGGAGAGAACGCATTGAGCGAAACGAAAAAAAGAAATGAAATCAAATTTATAAGTTTATCCTAATGAGAAAGTTTTTATAATCTTATGCTGGGCTGCCTGGGCGTTTGGTTTCTCACCGTGTATGTTTCGTCTCTTTAGGTAGCGTTTTGGTGTTTGTAGAAAAACAAGAAAACGCCGACGTGTTGTTTAAAGATTTACTGAGAAGGTCCTATCCATGTCTGTCTCTTCATGGAGGTAATGTAACGCGCATTTCTTTGTTAGGTTTTGGATTGAGCCATACTTGACCACGTACAAGCGACCTTAGCAGAAAAGAAACTGCGATTTTCAGAAAGAGTTAGCCTTCCTTTATCCCTATGGACTTCAAGATTGTGGAGCGAACGCAATCGAGAAGAGGCGAAGAGTAGATTCCTCTGTATGGGGGGCTTACCTCAAGCTGATAATTTGGAACGCATCTCTTCGATTTGATATAGATCATCACATTCGCTCGACGAAGGGGTGTCCTCTATCAGGTACCTTTCTCTGAGGACAATTCAAGGGCCACCAGGGACAATGATGAATGAGCATTCCTTCCCCCACCCAGGGGGAGTAGCAATTTTCAATATATAAACCGAGCAGTAGTGTTAAAGCCTAATTTCCTCGCAATCGCCACCCTCTTCTCCCCTTTTCTTCACGCAGACGACCAGAGAAGCCACGTCTTCACTAATTTCCAAACTGCTGTCAAAATGATTTTTGACAATTGTACCTTTGGGATTCGAATTAAAACCTGTACTTCTTTTTGGCAGGCATGGACCAGTTTGATCGTGATAGTACAATCGCTGACTTCAAAAATGGCGTCTGTAACTTAATGGTAAGACCACCGAATATCATGTTAGAAATTAAGTGTATAGTAGACCTATATTTTTTAAATTTGGAAATTATATTTGGAATTTAGTTTATCACAATTTAGCATGTAAGACCCAGTCAGATCTGAACAAATTTTCAAGCAGCACATCTTAATTCATGTACGATCTAAGCCACAATTTCAGTGTGCCACTTATCCACAAGTTTAAGACTGTGACTTAGTATAACCACGATGGCGGAGTCTTTATTGTTGGACAGCTTGACAAAATTCTGAGACGTGTGTGGATGTATTAAGTCAACTTTTTAGGTGTGAAAATACCTTCAGTTTAAAAATGACTGTGAAATATTAGGTCGGTAAGAAAGCAAAACACCAAGAAGTAAAAAGGATGCCAGGGATGGAGAAGATTATAATAATTGAAAGTGACGAAATTCGGCTTTACAATGTACAGACCAGCTTTCCCTAGTTTAGTAACAACTATCCCACAAACAGGCTTTCGACCTGCTAGGAGGTGCTGTCCCCCTTTCCCCTGTTTAATTTCTCTCCTCCCCCCCCCCCCCCCCCAAGAAGTCTGCCCGCGTGTTTCTCAAAGGGCTCTGATCCGATGCTAACATTGAATTTTCTCGGTTGTCCCACAGATTGCAACTTCTGTGGCAGCGAGAGGCCTGGATGTGAAACAGCTGATCTTAGTTGTGAATTATGACTGTCCGAATCATTATGAAGATTATGTTCATCGATGTGGGTGAGTTTAGACTTATTTTCTCCAGACGTGAACTCTTTAACAAATGGTAAACACCACAGCGTACACTATTGAGTTATGGTGCACGCGGGAGGTTGCTAAGCACGAAAGAAGCGTAAGAGTCGCTCGAGGCGATAGCCGAGAGCGACTCTAGCTTCTTGAGTGTTTAGCAAACTTCCCAAGTGCATCCATAACTCAATAGTGTACGCTGTGGTGTTTACCATTTGTTTTATAACATAACATTGATACATTGTAGCTAAAGAGTTCCCTTTAATTTAACAAATCTTACGCGACCAGAAAAAACAAGCGCGCGTGGAAAAATAGTCTTTGTATTTGCTCACGTCAGCGCCTTACACCCATGGGCTAATGGGGGACGCTAAATTGACCAATCAGAGCGCGCGCTTTAGTTTGGTTATGTTATAATATCTTTTCCGCTCTTTTCAAGCGAAACAAGATGAGAAAATAGTAAGACGCAGTAAATTTTCTCGTTCATAGTGTAGCAAGACAACTGAGCGAAAAACCAGCGGGAAATTGGCTTTGCGTGTCACTTTTGCCCACCTTAATTTCGGGCCAACACCAAGGAAACGCTCTTTAAAAGAAAGTACAGCCGTTCATAACAGGTGTTGTTTTAGAGATACCATTGAGTTGAAATTTTTGCTGATCTCAGAAGGAAAAGCTAAATTCTCTACATGTTTCGGGTAGAATTTCTCTTTAAGACAATTATTTGAGGAATATTCATATTGTCCTCATAAGCGTTCTCAATATAAAAACAATTTTTTTTCAGGCGCACTGGTCGTGCTGGGAGGAAAGGAACCTCTTATACGTTTGTTACTCCTGAACAAGGACGGTAAGACCATCGTTCACGCAAAATTTATCGAAAATTTTGTTCAGCTTGTTATTTGACATCAACAGCTCATGTCTTGTTTTCTTTTTCTTCCAACAGACATGCGGGGGACGTCGTGAAGGTACAAACTTAGAAATTTTAACCATACAGGTTTGTGTACAAGAGTACGCAACCAGCTTAATTGAGCCATGGTGCATTGTTATGGCCATATGATGAAATGGAAGCGCTTATTCTTCGGTTGACAAACATATATCCCAGCTAGAGGGGAAGGCGCTAGTTCAACATGCATTCAAAATCGCAATGAATTTCGTCAGTATTTAGCGACTAGGTTTGATTTCAACATGGAATGGCATTTGAAGCAAAATTGGAATCGTCAGGGGACTTTATTTAGGGATTGAATTCCTACCTGTCGGTTTGGTAATGTAAGCTTTTTTTTTTTTACTTAGATATAAACAGTTTAATGTGGTTTTTGTGTGTGTGCCCATCCCTCTCATCGTTAAATCTTCAGGCTTTAGAACTGTCCGGCACAGAAGTTCCGGAAGACCTTCGGAAACTTTGGAACGACTATACAGAGGAGAGAAAGGCGGTAAGAATTTTCACATGAATGGTATCTTTAGATGGACTAACCCTTCCCGTCTTTTAAGGGAAGGGTGTACTTTGTTCGGCTAATTTGAGATTTACTTATAGAACAGTTTTCTGCTTTGGTTTTGTTTTAACAAGCTCTCTGATTGGTCCAGAGAACACGCGTTGTCCTCACAACCAATCAGACGTGACATGAAAACCAATCGCGACTCTGTCACATGCATTTCCTGCGCTTTAGGCCAGTTACATAGTTATTATGCAACTCTCATATAGGAAGTTCTCTATTCTAAGTGACCCTTGCGTCAATTATCTTGCAGGAAGGAAAGAATGTAGTTAAAAACAGCGGCTTCACTGGAAAAGGTTGGTGTTTTAATTAAATTAAAGATTTAATATATTGGGTAACATATTAAGCCTGCGCAGCAGGAGTCATTTTTTGCGTTATCAGTCTTAGTAAGGCGAGCGGGGGTGCGTGTATCGTTGCGCACGCTTACCACGCAGGTAAGTCACGCTTACAAGCCATGCGTTCTAGCCACACGCTGTTCTGCAAGTCAACACTTCTTTGACTGCCTTCACATGAGCTGAAGCCCTCTTTTGCAAAGTTGCTCTAGAGCGAAGCTTTAGTGGAAAAATACTTTTTCTTTCATGCTTTTGAAATTTTTTCCCCTAAACTATTCTGTTTCTTTAGGATTCAAATTTAACGCGGAAGAAGATGCTAAAGTTAACGAGGCGAAGAAGATACAGAAATGGGTATGTACCTGTTCTGGTGCCGTTGTTTAAATGATGTAACGACGTAAACATGCCAACGTAAGACCGTGAGTGTGTCTGTGTGAAGGGGGCTTTATTCTGTTTTTTTTTTTTTCGGCTTAGAGAAATTTCTCCTCATTTGCCGCCAAGTTTGTATGGGTTGAGTTTTATTCTTCGTTGTTTGCAGGCTCTTGGTCTTCAAGACTCGGATGATGAAGCGGAAGCCGAAGAGAAAGCTGTAGAAGAAGTGAGTGTGAGGTTATCTTACTGTCATGTCACTTTCTCTGAACGCGGGATCCCAACACGCTTTGCGACAAGGTCATGGTAAACTGTCAGGCAGAACAAAGCAAATGACAAGGAAAGGGGGGGGGAGTTATCCAGGAAGAAAAGGAGCACTTCTAGTTACTTCCTAGAATGTTCTCTAGCACCTGGGTGCTACGCCCAAAGTCAGGACAATTTTGCCACACAAATCCATTTTCACTGTCATAAACGTGTATTTTCGACTATTTTTCAATCAGATTGACAAACAGTTGGATGCAGTATTCAGTAAAGGCAAACCTCACATCAAAAAAGCAGCTCCTGAGGCAAAAGGGGAACAGATCAAAGGCGAGCAGCAAGGTGAAGATGAACGTGTTATTCCCTCAAATTGATTTATCGATATATCCAAGTGTCAGCCACCGCCATTGATCGAATAATTGTTTTATCCGTGTCTGTATACTTTTCAGCAAAACTTAACCTGGCCACAAGTATTGCCGCCAAAATAAACCAGAAGATCATCGCCGGAACAAACGTAAGTAGATGTTAAAGAAGGATTTGTTCAAATATCACTTGTTTTCCCGACCTTTTGTGGTTTTGCCGCTGAGCACCGCGGGCTTCGATGCTGTTTTTTTTTTTACCCTGCAGCGGCCATCTTGGTTTTTTTATGTTTTGAGCTCGAAATAAATTATTTCATTTGACGACTTGTTCCTGTTTATCCAATTGTTCTGGTATCGAGAACAGGACGGGAGTCCCTCTTTAGTTGTTTCACTTTTTTGTTTTCTCCCTTTTCAAAAGAGAAAGACGCCGCGGCCCAACGATTAGGGTGATTCCTTGAATGAAAAAACGCGACTGTGAATTTGAGAGGAAATCTCAAGATGCTACTTCACTTATGTTGCGTGAATCTTAGAGTCAATAATAACACAGCGAAACCGACCAATCAATTTAAGGGAATCGAACTTGTATAACACTCGAACGACAGAAATTTTTACTTGATCACTTCCGCTTAATATGTGTATGTGCACGATCCTTCGCAGTAAATAATATGTCGAAAAATGCTTAATATGTCGAAAAGTCAGTTAACAGTGCTTCGCAGTATTATTTTTACCATATGTCTTTCAATAAATATCAAAATGATTTTGTTGTCTTTTGAAGAATATGGACCCGACTCAGCAAGCTGCCAGTCAGATTATCAAAGGAGGAACCGTTACCGCTCTTACTGTGAGTACTCAGCCACACCCAAACGCCGCCTTTTTGTATGTCACGCTGTGTTGTGTGACATCTCCATGTCACGCTGTGTTGTGTGACATCTCCATGTCACGCCTGTTATCGATCAGAGTATTAATTTCCCTCACAACAACAAACAGTAGAGGCTTACATGAATAGAGATTGTGTAAAAATATTTGCGACGTGTGTGGGGTAAAGCAAAATCTGATTTTTCTGTAAGGATGCCAACCCCAGAACTTCCAAATACGCGGTCGAATGCTTTACTAACAAGCTCTCAAGAACTCAAGCCATTATTAGGTTTAACTGTGATAGGCGTCCATCACGCTGCTGAGATCAGCAGTGCCGGAAAAGCTTCATGTCGAGAGAGGGAATGTAAGAAAGCTCGTAAATTTGAAAATGGATGGTGGCAATATTTCCTTCGAGCGTGGAATAAACAGAACACCTGACTCCTGCGCTCGAATTAGAAAGTAAAGGGTAATCTTCAAACGCGTGAGCCATATTGCAATTCACTTTTTTACTTTTTGTTATCTGCGATTTCTTGTTAGGGCCTGGGTCTAGCAAAGCAACTCGCCGAAAAGATTCATGGGAAGATCGGCTACGAAGCTCCAGTGGAGGAGGTGAAACAAGATGAGAAGAAGACAGAGGAGGAACAGAGGTACGAAGATGAAGTGGAGATCAACGACTTTCCTCAAACAGCTCGATGGAAAGTCACTTCTAAGGTGGGTAGTCTGACAGTGAACCAAAATCGCTTTCGAGATATTGTTCCGGGATTGCTTTGGTTTCGCTTGTTGTCCATAGTTGAGCCAACTTGTTTATTTATCTTTTTATTCTTCCCTTAGGAAACAATTATGAACATCACCGAGGTTTCTGAGGCAGCCATTACTGTGCGTGGAACCTTCTTCCCTCCAGGTTAAAACTAACTTAAGAATCAGGTCTTGTATTAATAGACCTCTCTAACTTCATGTTTTATTTTTTTTTCCAACCCATTTCAGGTCATGTGATGATACTCCAGAGAACTCTTTTTTTAAAATTTCCCCTTACTTGCAAGCATATATATGCAGACCAAAGATAAAGATGGGAAGTCCCTTGATACCTGAAATGGGTAAACAAAACATACAAGCTAAAGGGATGTACATTATGAAGAGTGAAACCATAAAATGCGTTTTAAGTTACATATGAAGCATATAACCTAGGATGAATGCTTCTGGTCACATTTAATTGATCTCAATAAAAATTCCAATAAAAATTCTTCTCCAATTTCTTTACCTTAATATTCAGGGAAAGAACCGAAACTAGAAGGCGAAAGGAAAATCTATTTATATATTGAGGGTAAGTAGAATAATTTGTTGAAAAGTTATTGAAAATCAGATAGGTTAAACGAAAATATGTTAAAATGAACAGTTTGTAAAGGACTTTTACGACCTGATTAGAAAGATGCGATGTGTGGGCGAAGGTCATGCGCTAATTGTCAATTTTGTTTACTCATTTTAACAAAGTATGATACGTAGAATGTTGTCGCCCTCGCTAACTATCGAGAAGGAGTCATTTAGCAAATGAGGAAGGCCTGGTATCGACTAGTGCCTTGATTCTGTTTGAAATCTAATTCACGCCCGTTGGTTCGTTTCCAGGTCCTTCTGAACGTTCAATCTATCTGGCAAAACTGGAAATAAAACGAGTCGTTAAAGAAGAAATGATCAGATTGGTAAGTAAAACGAATTACGCCCAAAAGTCTCTAATTCTGCTTCTGTGTAACATTTGTTTGAAGAAAAAAAAAACCTGTTGCCTTCCCTTGTGCTAGCATCAATCTTTGGAACAGCCTCCTTGTCATCTGAATTATCACATCTGTAATGTTTGAGAAACCTTTTTACTTCTAATTTGCACCTAATGTAGCTTGACTAGCAGCAATGCATTGGCGATATTTTATTATTAAATTGCGTAATGAATGTTTACTAAATTTGTACCACAATTCAAATTCGTACTATATTATAAAAGGCGCAACTCCAAACCTACTAAAACTTCACTCTTTCTATGACTTCCACGTATGTAACAAAATTACTCTTTTTCCTTTCTCCTCAGGGTTCTTTCCGTGGTCCTCAGTCTACTGGAAGATACAAAGTTCTCTGAGAGGAAAGTTGTGCGCTTGATCATACTCGCTTTTATTCACCGATACCTCCAGTTATCTACTGGGCGTGTCTCGCTTTCTAATTCTAGGCTGTCTTCTCAAGTTGAAGAAAATTTTTGTAGTCACACATCACCACTGGCACTTCTTTGACGGGCTTCTTGACGGCTAGTGAACAATTTTTTCAAGTTCGTTGCTTCCAATCTGTTAGAATCTCTCCATCTTCGGCCACCTGCGTTCCTTCTTGTTTAAATATCGTGTCTTGTGTTCCCCTTTTTCCAGCAACCGTTTTGATATAATTTAGCCCCTTTCAACCCAAACGTAGTTTCTCACGTTGCAAAATAGCCCAAATTTCACGACAAGCTCTATAAAAAGAGTAAACCATTTGAAGGAGATAAAAGTTTGTTTTTTAGAATCGAAAGAACAGACATACGCTTGCTCAGACAACTGACCATATTTTAAATAGATTAGATTTTGTTTTTGTGCGCTACACGTAAAATCATCCCAGTTATCATTGTAGCATTTTGTAAGTCAGCCAAAGATCTGCAATCAAGCCAGAAGGAAATCTTGTTTCTTTCTGTCATAGTGAAGCTATTCAATGATTATCAACTGTCCTTGAGAGAGCGCTTTTTTATTAAGAATCGTGAAACCAAAACCAAAGTTATTAAAACGCACAGTCAGAGCGAAAGTTATTTTTTAAATAACCAGTGAGAACTTCTCTGAGTGAAAACAAGCGAACTGCTTATAGCGCGGGAAAACGTCAATACCTCGCCGCTGCTGGCCCTGTGATAACTTGCATCTGATTGGCTGAGTCGGTATCAAAAGTTTTCTGGACCAATCACAGAGCGAAACAAAGCAAAGCCAATGCAATCCCGGATTACTTTCCACACTTAGTTGGAAATGTCTGTTAAACCCTACTTTCTTAACAAAGTACTTACAAGTTGTAATCGCACTCTGTGGTTTGTAAACAATAAAAGTAAGTTATTGCAGCCAGGATGTCTATGTGTTTGTAATTTTTTGGTAGCCTGTTATCTCCTTGTCTCATTCCGTGCGAGCGGAAATGCCAATCCTCGCGAATTGTGTGGTATACCTGACGGTAGTTTCTATAGTCAGCAGAGCGGGCGCAATTTTGGTGAACGAGTGCGCATTGTTTTCTCTGCGAAAATTATGGCCGTCACCTTTCATTTTAATGGCGGCGGAAGGCTGGGGAGAGAAACAAATTTGTACCAGGGGGTGGTGAGTGACAGTGAAACTAACTCCAGTGAAACTAACTCCATGGAAACTAATTCCAGTGAAACTAACTCCAAATCAAACACGGCCGGTTGAATAAACGGTCGCACGCTTCTTAAAACTCACCTTGATAAGATGCCTGCACTTCTGGCGATAGTTTCTGGGAGAGAGCAAGTTAAAAACCAAGGTGACCCAGGCTGCGAGCTGACCAAAATTCTTCAAACTTTTTTTCACTAATAATAACGTAGCTTTCCGACGTTGTAATGAGAAAAGAGATTTCGTATTTTCTTTAGGATTATGATATCTTAGAAAAACACAACAAAAGAACAATAAAAATAGAAACAAAAATTAACGTGCGCCTTTGAGATTGATAATGTCGATAGCGCCTTAGTCAGGCAATTAGGTGGGTACTTCATAAAAGGTAGACCAATTTTAACAAATGGTAAACACTGCAGCGTACACTATTGAGTTATGGATGCACGCGGGAGGCTGCTAAGCACGAAAGAAGCGTAAGAGTCGCGCGAGGCGATAGTCGAGAGCGACTCTAGCTTCTTGAGTGCTTAGCAAACCTCCCAAGTGCATCCATAACTCAAAAGTGTACACTGTAGCGTTTACCATTTTTTATAACATAACATTGATACATTGTCGCAAAAGAGTTTGATTTTATTTAAAAAATCTTACGTGACCAGAAAAAAAAAACAAGAAAAAACAAGAAAAAAACGCGCACGGAAAACCAGTCTTTGCGTTTGCTCACGTCAGCAGCGTACACCCATGGGCAAATGGTGGACGCTGAATTGACCAATCAGAGCGCGCGCTTTACTTTGGTTATGTTATGAATTCAATTATGCCCACCCCACCCCCTCGAAAAAAGACGATGACGCACTAGTCTTCGAAACATTTTCTCGAGAAGAGATACAAAAAGATAGTAAAAGAATTCCCGATAGACTCCTCCGAGGAAGATTCCAAAGATAAAGGCTTTCTCTCCTTGTCAACTTTCCTGATGGTCTGTCTTTCCCAGTAGCAGTTGCAAGATGGAGACGCTGAAGTCGTTGCGTTCAAGAAATCACATCAAGATTCGTTCTACCTTGGATATTTAAACTGTCTTGTCGTCTAAATATATAGCTATTTCCACTTCCGAAAAAAAAAAAAGCGACCATCTGGAGCCCTCAAACACCGAGTTCTGTCGCGCAACAGTTTCTCATGGAAGTAACTTCGCTGAATCTTTTGGAAATTTATCGAATCAATCGTCATGACATTTTACGTAGTTAATGAAATAAAAAAATTCTTTTTGGGGTGATGATTCAGAAAGATGTGGAAAGCGAAGGGTTAGGAATTCTCTTTCTTTACCCGCTAGTTGTCACGCGAACTACCTCCACTTCATTGCGTGACAAAGTCACACACGCAGGACGAAAACCGATTTCAATTTCGAAATTCTTTATTCATGAATAGTAGTAAATACCAAAAGAAACATGCCCAGAGTCATACGTCTGGACTTACGATTTCATATAACTAACTGCTATATAAAAAAAAAAAAACTAAATACAAACTATTTACAAATGTATGAATAACAATTAGATGAAATTGAAAAGGCATTTGTTGACAAAACAGTGTTTGGGACGTTCAGTTCTTACACGTGGCAGGACATAAGGGTGTCCCCTTTTCCTAAGGCGCCTTATTCTCTGGGGTGGAAGCAGTTCATGAAGGGGATGATTACAATCAGTAGTTATATTATATCTTTGATTTTAATGACATCAGTCAGGGGTATATGTTTGCTGGTGTAACCATAACATAGAGCCCGCTTGGAAAACCTTTCAATTTGGGAGAGATATATACTCTAGTGGGCACAATCGCATAGGTGACATTGTAAGACTGTCAAACAGCAGTGTAAGCTCTTGTAATGAGTAGCCGTAGTATTTACAAACTCCAAGGATGTACAATTTAGAACTCGCTTTGCTAAGCATATTTTCGAATTGAGTGTCCCATTTACATGGATCTTCATTTACTATAACTCTTAACAGCATATGATCACTCTTCCAAACTATTCCATCCATGTAATTTGAATATATCAACAAAGTTGAAATGGTAAATTGGCCACCGTTACGGTTATAAAAGCTGACGTTTCGAGCGTTAGCCCTTCGTCGGAGCGTTAGCCCTTCGCTCCGACGAAGGGCTAACGCTCGAAACGTCAGCTTTTACAACCGTAACGGTGGCCAATTTACCATTTCAACTTTGTTGATATATTCAAATTATTTCATTACCCCCCACCGACGCAGCGCCAAACAGTTTCTTTAGAAACTATCAGCCTTTATTCCATCCATGGACTTTGGGAGGGGCATTCTGGTTTTACTCTTAACAACCATCTCAAAGGTCTTTTTAATGTTCAGTTTCACCTGGCTATCATCAGCCCATCGTTTGATGTTTGCTAGTTCCTGATGTGATGAATCAGTGTGATCGAAGCCAATTGTCACTGGCACACTGGCTGTGATACCATCAGCATATTTGATCCGTAGGGTTTGGAGGATTACAACTTTGATGTCATTAACCGTGATAGAGAACAATAAGGGTCCAAGGTGAGTCTCCTGGGGGAACCCCCATTCCATCAACCACTTCTCTCTGTTGGCGATCATACAAGAAGCTCATTATCCAGTTCGTAATGTATGGGTTAATGTCGAACGACATTATCTTTTGCACAGAACGCGATCGGAGACTGAGTCAAAAGCCTTGCTAAAATCAAATGAAAAGGCTCTGACAAAATCCGCATCCCTGTCAAGTTGCCCAAGCCAAAATGTTGGCACTTGACGAGGGCCATAGTTGTATTGTGTCCCTTCTTATAAGTGATTTGGTCAGGTCCACTCGCTGACTAAAGGATAGGAGATAGTTCTTGTTTGCAGACAAGACACTCAAAATATTCTCATTATGATGTTGGTTAATGAGATTGGTCTAAGTTGATTGCATTCAGTCAGAGGAGATTCGTTAGGGACGGGCGGGATATTTGCTAGTTTCCAAAAGAATGGAACAGTTTGATGCTTGAGTAACAATTGAAATTTTGGTGGCCACTGGTGAAAGATAGTAAGAGTAATCGCGCTAAAGCCAGTGGGGAAACTCATCAGGCCCCAAAGCGATTCGATTCTGATGTGTCAGTAAGTTTCTTACATCACATTCATTCACAGTTGGGAGACGGGAGACGAGTAGGCTACTCAAGGCAAATTTTTTTAAAGAAGAATAGTCTCCTTGGTTTGTTCAAAAGTAATGATAATTTTTGGTGTGTTTGCCTAATTCGTTTTCATTTTCTTAGTTTAGTATCATCTTTATGTCGAAAAGAATAAACATCAGAGTCTTCTAAATTTAATTAGTATAAATTCAGAGCTGAGCAAAGAGTTTCCAGCAATCTGATTGGTCGACCGGTTCCTTCTATGACGCTTTATTATATGACTGTGTCTCATAAGGACCGGGAACTACCGAATTCGCGAATTTGATTGGCTGAAATCAATATTGAGGGCGGTCTAGATTTTCCCATCTAGACCGGCATCTAGACCGGTCTAGAAAAAAAGGTACAAAGAATATAAAAAATTGGCATATAAGACACAGCCATATAATAAACATCTTATTAACCGAGCTAGGTCGGTCTGTATGGGAGAATCTTGACCTCGGTCGCTGGTACAGACCTCACTGCGTTCGGTCTGTACTGGCGACCTCGGTCAAGATTCTCCCATACAGACCTCCCGCTCGGTTAATAAGAACTAA